GCGGGCGGGCGGCGAAAATGAAAGCCGCGCCGCCGCTTCCTGCGCGGGGCGGGCGGGCGCGCGGGCGAGGCGGCCAGCCAGCATGGGCGACGCGGCGCAACCCTTCGAGACGGCGCTGCTCTTCGCCCTGGACGACCTGGCGGGCGACAACTTCAGGCGCTTCAAGCAGCAGCTGGGCGTCGTGCGCGTGGAGGAGGGCCGGGCGCGCATCCCGCGCGGCCGCCTGGAGCGCGCGGACACCCTGGACGCGGCGCGGCTGCTGCTGGAGGCCTACGGCGAGGAGGGCGCCCTGGACGTGGCCGTCCGCGCCCTGCGCGGCGCCAACCTGCGCGACTCGGCCAGCGCGCTCCTGCAGTGGCGCCGCGGCGGTAAGGCCCCCCGCGCGCCCGCGCCTTGCCCGGCAGGCAGGCAGGAGCCCCCCCCCCCGGCGGCGCCTCGCTGCCCCCGCGCGCCCGACCTGCTGGCCCGGGGGGCCCAGGCCCCGCAGCTCCAGCAAGGTCGTGCGGCGGCCCGGCTGGAGCTGGGCGGCGGGCCTCCGGGGGCCCGGCCCCCCACTCCCGCTCCCCATCCCTCCTGCTTGGCGCGGCGCCGCGGGGCCTCCCGTTTCGCTTCGCTATCTGCGGCAGACAGCTGCGGCCCCGCTACTTCCCTTCCATTTTGCAAAAGCCGAAGCGGATGTCCCAAGCGAGCATTGCAGGGTGCTAGAGAGAAAATGGGGGGGGCTGCGGAGGAAGTCCCGGGGTGCGCTGGGGGGGGGGGTAGCATGACCTAGCGCTTCCGTTCCAACCTGCAAGGGGCGAGCTGGCTCTGACTTGCAGGCTCTCCTCCAGCGTGGCTTTTCGCCTGTCCTTAAACTAACCATGCCGCCGATTTCATGAAATCAATGCATGTGCATATTTAAAGCAGGTAAGTCGCAGGTGCGATGGGGGAAGAAAGCAGAACAGTGTGTGGGGGGTGGAATTTATCCCTTCCCCTCCTGTCTTGGTGGTGCAGGTGAAAATTACCACCTTTGCTGAGGCTGGCTGGAAACACCCCGTTCCTCTCTCTCTGATCTTGGAGTACCCAGCAAAACTTACCAGAAAGGAGCTGAGCTGTGTTTGCACTGGCAAAGGACCCTCTGCAGTCCCCTTTCTGCTTTAACCACCCCTTTCAGGCTGCCTCCCTGCCTGCCCTCTTCCCCAGGGTAGCCCCTTTCAGGACTTCCTCTTCTGAGAAATATGCCTAGGACTGTGTTTTTTTGGCTGACCTCCTGAGCCCTCTGACCCGTGTAGAGTAAGTTCCGTTAAACACACAGAACTGGTTTTGAATTTACACACTTTGTGCTGCACATGCAAGTTGCTTTTTCAAAATTAAAAGCAAAACACAACCCGCCAGGGGTTTCCCGCTTGCCTTTGCATGCAGTGTGGAGTGGGATGGAAAGAGCAGCTCTCCAGGATCCCTCTACTCTGCAGCTCACAGCAAACTGGACGGGATGGGCCGCCGAGGTCTCTGGCACTCCTTTTTAGGAAGAACAGTACAAAAGCCCCGCGGCAGGAATTCCGGCAGGAAAGCCGAGGCAAACGTGGCTCACAGACGACCGGGGAGCTTGCTGCCCTGCGTTTCCCAGCTCCACACACTGCCCCGGACGTGGGGGTGCTGCTGGCACTCTAAGGGGCCCGTACCTCTGTCTCTTCCAGAGCAACGCTAGGAGAGCCGTCCCTGAACACGCGCCCGGCTTGGGCGGCCCACGCTTTGCACCCCATCATGTGCCAAGTGCAGCCTCCAGCCGAGTGCCGGCGCCCACCCGGACTCTGCACCACCCCGGCCTCCTGACCGACCGGCACTGCCTCCTCCCATTGCCCGCCGGGATCCTGAGCACGCTTCTTGAAGAGGCCACCCTTGCCCCGCCACGGCAGTGCCCTCTGCTGCATTTGGCTGGTTCGCCTGCCTGCTTCTTGCAATAAAGACGAAGCTGTGACACTCCGGCTCCTTTTTTAAACTCTGCATATGTTTTTAGCACCTTGCACCAGTCCTTGGAGGAGGGGAAGCAGGCAGCAATTCCCTGATCCTTTATTGTCTTACATAGTTAGGAAGCCTGCTGGGCAATTGCAGAGTAGCTTAGGGTGCGACCCTCGGCATGTTTACATGGAAAAATCCGTATAACGTCCGCCACGCTGTGGCAGTTTTAGGTCTAGCCATCCATCGAACTGAGCCCTGAAACTTTGCATGGCTGCATTCACAAGCATTGCAGACGTTATTCAAAACTCAGACATCGTGTACAAGAGAACTGTCTTCGTTTTCCCACTAAAGTCTATTTATTCCCTTGAAAAGAAGGGGAAGGGTTATGAAAACATGCTCATTTCCTGAAAGTCTTCTGGGCTTGGCTCCGCTCCCCCCATGCCTTGGAATGGGGATTGGGATGCACAGCTCTGCAGAGCTGGGAGATTAACTTGGGGACAAAGGGCTGATTATAACATTTTCAGGAGCTTCCTTGCAGGCCCTTGATCCCTTGGCTGAGTCGAGGCCCCCACAGGCGCTGGCCACGTGCCACGCGGCTTCCCCGATTGCCCTCCCTTCCCGCGGCTTCCCCAATTGCCCGGCAAGGCCACAGCCTGGAGACCATTCCATGGCTTGCGACGGGGTTCTGGGGTGGTTTTGGGGGCACCCCCTCCCGACAGGCCATTATTTTGTTTTCTTTTCACAGCCACTGTGTAAGTCAGTTGCCTGCTTGGGGGATGGGGGGGCACAGCCCTCCCTCACTGAATCCAGGCCTTTTCTTGACACATACCCCTCTGGCTCTGGAGGGCTCGGGAAGCAAATCCTGCAGGTGGCAAGGAAAAGCAGCGCCAGGGCTGTCCGAGCAGAAGGTGGTGCTCCTTGGAGAAATTGTCGCTGGGGGGGGAACCAGAAACTGGCTCGAAGGAAAGGGAAGGGGGACAGTCGGTGGGGCAAGTGGGAGGCTGCGAGGAGGGGGTCTCCTGCTCTTGCAAGCCGCTGCTCTGGCGCACACGTGCCTCCATCCCCGTCCTCGCGGCTGGGTCTGGGGATCCCAGCCGTGGCTTTTGCAGCAGCGTAAGGCCGACGACAGACGGCGGCTGCTCTCTCCACAGATCCGGTGGAGGCAAAAGCAAAGGGTCCCTGAGTGGTGTGCCTATTCCAGAGGCCCCTAAATGCGAGGCCGACGGGGGCACGACGGCTGGTGCGCCTGTGCCCGCTTCCACCCCTCAGCATCCTCGCGGCCCGGCCCTCTCCATGCCTCGGGGTTTCCTGGGCTGATTTTCACATCCAACCAAGACCCTGAGTACCAAATTCTAGTAAGGTGGCACGACCTGCAGTCCAAACCACCAAAACCAGAGTAATTTGTGGTCCGAAACAGCTGGAGGGCATGGTGTGGGGGGAGGTGTTGGTTGGGGTGCCCCCATTACAGGCTAAAAGGCCTCAAATGCCAGAGCAGAAGGTTGGCTGCCTGCCTCCCAGGACCAGCCACACGCTCTGCAGGCCTCTTGTCATGAAGCCATCCGCACTTTTGACGTGCTCAGACAGCAGCGCTCGGTTTCCTACCGGAAGCATCCAGCATTTCTGGGATCGTTAGGTTTGCTCCCCC